TGTGCACAAGTAGCTTTTTATAGTCTGGAGAGGAGCCTAATTACCACCAGCTGAGTGCAATTATCTCCTGTAACTGCTCCTTACGCCTATGAGCTCTTTCGTGCCGGGCATCTAGGAACAACTCCCTTGGCTCCTCTCCACTGCTCCAATGCATGACTTCCGGCTCACTCTCCCTTGTCTCCTCCCCGCTGGTCCAAGGCTCAGGTGCCTCCTGGTGGCCAACCAGCCTCTCTGTGCCCTGCTCGGAGTCAGAACCCTGTCCAGGGTCCTCCACATCCTCCAGAGCCGACTCATAGGGCCCCTCGCTGTTGGAGTCTGTTTGCAGCTCCAATGGCTCCTGCTGGGCCACAACAGATTTGTATCCAAAATTTCCTTGCTTTTTGAACAGGTCCACCACATGTGATATGTGCCTGGTATTTTTTTGCATTTCCAACAGTTTGGGGATATATTGCTAAACCAAGCCAATCTTGCCGGGAGAAGGAGATGACCCCTATAGATCCCCTGGTTTTCTAATTTCCTTTCTTTTGTTACAGATCTGGCCAATCGGAAGAGAGATCAACTGCAAATGTCTGAAAACCTTGACGGTTTCCGAAGACCGAAGTATCTCTTTGCAGCCTCGGCTCCACTTCGACGGGAAATACATTGTGTGCAGCTCGGCAATCGGGCTCTACCAGTGGGACTTCGCCAGCTACGATATCCTCAGGTAGCCCTTCTGAATTTTAAAAGGGGATGGTGGAAAGAGAACCTTCTCCAGCTGCTGCATTTTACCCAGAATGCGTGGGGGAGGCCGTGACCGTAACTTTTATTAGGATAGCAGTTATAAAGAAGAAAAGTTAAACAAGATATACAAAAATTGTCACCATAGAAAAAACGAGATATACAAAAATTATATCACCGTGCACCAAGGTTTTGAAGAGGCAAATTTTAAAAAATAGTTTTTGCACTCTGCAAACCTCCCAACAACGGATCGTTTTTTGCGAAAACGGGCCCATTTTTGTTGTTTTTTCTTTTCAAAAAAAGGCATGAATAGCCTTTAGGGGGCTTGCAGAGTGCTTCTGGGGGGTGGCCCCCCCAAAAAATGGCCCGTTTGCAAAAACGGGCCTGTTTTATGTCAAAAAACTTGCATGCATAGCCTTTAGGAGTACTCCTGGGGGCTGGGGGGACAAAATTGAGCAAAAAACAGCCCAGATTTCACTCATTTCTGCCCTCCCCAGCTCCCAGGAGCTCTCTGAAAGCCTCCTACAGGCCCTGCACCGCCATTTTGGTGAAGGGGACGGGGTTTCAGGAGCAAAAAAATGCTGTATTCAGTGTATAAGACGCACCCAGATTTTCAGCCTCCTTTTTTAGGGAAAAAGGTTCGTCTTATACTCCGAAAAATATGGTAGTTGGGTAACCTTTAGCATGAATTACGTCTTCCCATGGAGTGAACCAAGTCTTTTAGTTCTGCAGCTGTTATCATGTAAAACCAAGGTTGAATTATTGCATCTATTAACTGGGTGTTATTGCTGGATCGCTTCTCACTTTTCTTTAGTCGGCTCTGTAGATTTTCCACTGGGTTAAGGTCTGGGCTATTCCCAGGCCATTCCAGCAGTAGAATATGGTTATCTTAAAACTCCCCCCAAAAAAGTGGTGTTATTAGCCATCAAATCTCAAAAATGCACTTTCCCCAAAAAGTTTCCACAATTTTGGCCATTACTGTATTCCCAAGATTCCCCTCAATTCAGGCAGCTGAATTTTGTTCTGAGCCAGGGGAAACTTCCCATTGTCAAGGGGCAGGATTCCTCTCCACCCACCCAAAAAAATAGGGTGCATCTTACGATTTCTCATTTTTCTCCCCTTCCTGCAGGGTTATCAAACCACCTGAATTTGCAAACTTGTCCTTGTTGGGCTTCGGTGACATTTTCGCCCTCCTGTTTGATAATCACTACCTGTACATCATGGACCTGAGGACAGAAAAAACGATCAGCCGTTGGCCGCTGCCGGAATACCGGAAGTCGAAGCGGGGTTCGAGCTTCTTGGCGGGAGAGATGGCTTGGCTGGATGGCTTGGACGGTGAGAACGACATGGGCTTGGTGTTCGCCACCAGCATGCCTGACCACAGCATTCACCTGGTCTTGTGGAAGGAACATGGCTGAACTTGGCCAAAGACTCTGGAAGGTGGATTTATATATATATATATAATAAATAAATATATATATATATAAATAATAATTTAAAAAAAGAGAGAGAACGGAGACTGCCAGCAACGAATCCAAGGGACGATGCTTTGCATGAACCAAAGTTAACAAGAGGTTTCATCCTGCAACGCACAATCGGTTTTTTTTTTTTAACCATTTTTCTTTTCCAATGCCATTTTGGAAAGTAGCGGGACGGGGAAGACGAACCCTCCCCGTACAGAAGCCTGTTGAATTTCTTTCTTTTTTCTCAGAATGAAGGTATCCCAGCATCTTAATTGTTTCCACCATTATCTCTCTCTCTCTCTCTCTCTCACACACACACACACACATATATATATATTCGTGTTCAAATATATCCATTTGAGCATATTTTGTGACTGGTTTGGGGTTTCTTGGGAATTGGCGGGGCGGGGGGGAAAGCAACAACGATTCAAGACTAGCATATTGAAATGCATTTCTTTCTTCCCCCTTCCTGTTTGGGGGGGAAAAAAAGAGGTTAATCAAATTTGTTTTTAAAAAATGGCTCTGATTCACCACCATTACCGTAGTTTTTGGAGTATAAGACGCATCTTTCCTCCCCAAAAACGAGGGTGAAAATCTGGATGCGTCTTATTCACTGAATACAGCATTTTTGGCCTACTGAAACTCCCCCCCCCCCTTTTGCAACAATGGACGTGCAGAGGGTTTAGGAGACTTGTAGAGTGCAAAAACTTAAACAATTTACCTCTTCAAAATCATGGTGCGTCTAAAACTCCAGTGCGTCTTATACTCTGAAAAATACGGTATATAAGATTTGAATACTGGTACCGTGTTTCCCCGAAAATAACACAGGGTCTTATTTCCTTTTGACCCACAAAATATGACTTGGGCCTTATTATCAGGAGAGGGCTTATTATTTTGGGGTTGCCGGGCGGCTGCTCCCTTGTAAGTGGGCTCCTGAAGAGCCGGACACAGCCTCAGAGGCGAAGCAGCCATGAGGTGACCACACTCATGAGCAGCCGCCCGGCAAACCCCCTCTCCAGCCGGGTAGAGCGCCATTCACTGACCTAGGGGGTATCCCTAAGGCGCCAAGCCACGTGGCACTCTGCCCGCCTCTTGTGGCTTGACGCTTTCGAGATACTGCTAGGTCGGTGAGCGGTGCTCTGCCTGGCTGGGGGGGGGGGATTGTCCAGGGGGCTAATTTTCAGGGGGGGCTTATATTTTTACCCATGCGAAAAATGTGGCAAGGCCTTAGTTTCAGGACAGGTTGTATTTTCGGGGAAACATGGTAGTCCTCAACACACAACCACAATTGAGGCCCCCAAATCTCTGTTGCTTAAGCGAGACAGTTGTTAAATGAATTTTGCCTGGTTTTTACCACCTTTCTTGCCAGACTTGTTAAGTGAATCGCTGCACTTGTTAAGTTAAGACAACGCGGTTGTTAAGCGAATCCTTGATTTTGTCGAAAGGGGGAATCACATGACTCCGGGATACGGCGACCGTCATGAGTTTGAGTCAGTTGCCAAGGGTCTCAGTTTTGATCTTCTTCCCATTTTACGACATTTCTTGCCGCCTTTGATACGCGAATGATGGCCGTTGTTAAGTTAGTCACGCGGTCTTTAAGCAAATCTGGTATCCCCCTTGACTTTGCTCGTCAGAAGGTCGCAAAAAGATCCCCGGGATGCTGTGACCGTCATAAAATATGAGTCAGTGGCCAAGGATCCGAATTTTGATTGCGTGACCATGCAGACGCAGCAACAGTCGTAAAAGGGTGAAACGTGGTTGCATAGGTTACTTTTTTTTCAGCGCTCCTTTAACTCTGTCGCTAAACGAATTGTTGTAAGTCGAGGCCTGCCTGCACAGCTAAAAGGTCATTTCTGTCCGTCTTACACATGCACATATAAAGACAACTTCAGAAACCAAAACTGCATTCAGTTTTGGTGGCCACGATGGAGAAAAGATGTGGAGACTCTAGAAAGAGGGCAGAGAAGAGCAACAAAGAAGATTAGGGGACTGGAGGCTAAAAAATATGGAGAACGGTTGCAGGAACTGGGTAGGTCTAGTTTAATGAAAAGAAGGACTAGGGAAGGCACCTGAGGGTAGAACAAGAAGCAATGGGTGGAAACTAATCAAGGAGAGAAGCAACTTAGAACTGAGGAGAAATTTCCTGACAGTGAGAACAATTAATCAGTGGAACAACTTGCCTCCAGAAGTCGTGAATGCTCCAACACTGGAGGTTTTTAAGAGGATGTTGCATCGCCATTTGTCTGGAACGGTACAGGGTTTCCTGCCTAGGCAGGGGGTTGGACTAGAAGACCTCCAAGGTCCCTTCCAACTCTGCTATTATATTGTATTGTATTAAATGTAATGAGCGATGTGTCTGGGAGGAGCCTTCAGCTTTTGTTCACTTCCCCGCATATGAAGATTTAAACCAGGACTTCCTGTGGAAGATCCTATCTTTCTACCTGCCTACCTATTTATACTAATCTATCAAACAAATGAGAATCACCAACCAAGGTTTGGTTAGTTTTTTCCGGCTTTCTGTACCATGCTCAGCTCCACCTGTGGGGAGTCTCCATGAAAACCAAACCACAAATTCCGTAATGCTAATGATGGGGAAACGTCTTTGTGTTGATCTGAATCAATCCAGCAACAGCTTTGTGTTTTAGGGAGTAGCTCGCAAGCATTCTCATGCTGCACAATCGTTGGCCAATGCCAAAAAAAATAAAGCCATCCTTATCTTTTCTCCTTTTGCTAGGATAACAGGGGAGGCCACCACTGTAATTGATTACAGTTATCAATGTAATTAATCATTTACCACTGATTGGCCCTGCAACTTGGTAACAAGGAGGCCATCAACTTTGGGTTGTGTGAGCATGATCTCGCTCTCCTCTGCCCGTTGCGTTCGGCCGTTCCGTTAAACCCAAATGTTCTTTTTTAAAGGAGGCATAATGAATAATTCAGAATTGTGATGCTGTAGAGTGATTGCTTGGAATCCGTTCAGCTCTTAAGTGTTCTAATTTTTGGAGTCGTTTTGCCATAATGCCATTGTTTCAAGGCTCTTGATAAATCTACATCAACCATCGGTCTCTCGTTGCCGCTCCTGGCTGATTCACCGCAAGCAACTTCTTTTTCCATGCAATCTCCTCCAATGCTTGGCTTTTCCAGAGTGGGGTGAAGAGACAATTTTATACAAGAAGACCTGCGGATGGTTCTCAGACCTTAGTTAGATGGTTCAACAAATCAGAGGTTTCTTATTTTTACAGCAAACCGCATCTTGGAAGGTTCCAGGAACATTAAACCAAGTTTGAGGATGCTGCCAAGGATGAAGGATTTATGGCAAGGTGGAAACCCGAAGCTTTCAGATTCGGGTTAATGTCAGGATTCCAAATAGCATCCAAAATTAAATCAGAGTCCAGGGCAAAGTATTGCTCAAAGTTCCAGTTTATTAAGAGAGCCATGTGAAATCTGAAAGCTTCCNCTGGTATATTTATTTCTATTTCTATATCTTATGTATCCATATTTATTTATTTATCTTTATGTTTCTATATTTTTCTCTATTTCTATATCATGTATCCGTATTTATTTATTTATCTATATCTTTATGTATCTATATCTATCTGTCATCTATCATCTCTGGTCTACCTACTGGTATATATATTTATTTCTATTTCTATATCTTATGTATCTATCCATATTTATTTATCTTTATGTTTCTATATTTTTCTCTATTTCTATATCATGTATCTTATCTGTATTTATTATTTATTTATTTATTTATCTTTATATGTATCTCGATCTGTCATCTATCATCTCGTTTTTCTTTATGTATATATTTCTATTTCTATATCTTATCTATACTTATTTATTTATCTCTATGTTTCTATATTTTTCTCTATTTCTATATCATATATCTATCTGTATTTATTTATCTTTATATGTATCTATATCTATCTGTCATCTATCATCTCTTGTTTTTTATGTATCTATATTTCTATATCTTATCTATCCTTATTTATTTATCTCTGTTTCTGTATTTTTATCTTTTTCTATATCATATATCTATCTGTATTTATTTATTTATCTTTATATGTATCTATATCTGTCATCTATCATCTCTTGTTTTTTATGTATATTTCTATTTCTATATCTTATCTATATTTATTTATTTATTTATTTATCTCTTATGTTTCTGTATTTTTCTCTATTTCTATATCATGTATCTATCAGCTTGGAGCAAAGCCAGGCTTGCAACTTATGGTCAAAATATCTTTTATCGTCAGCAGAAAATGTGAGATGCCAGCCTGGGTGTGGTTGAGACAGGTGAGACAGACTCCACCTTCCTAAAAGTATCTTACGGCTATGTATCTTTAAAAGATCGAACTCACAGCAAATAGACAAAAAATGCAAAATAACCCGAACTCAAATCACCAGCTCCAGTTGCGAAATTCAGATGCTTGTTCCTGAATTCTCATCTGGGTATCTGCCAAGTTCCCCGTCCAATTTCTATGTAGGGCTGGGCCAATGCATTGTTGTTATGAAAAGGTATGGAATAAAGGAAGTGCTTTACCGTGCTAAAATGCGGACAGGCGGTTTGGGGTTGTCACAGCTTAACAAAAGAACAGCTTGGATTGCAAAGCGTAACCAGACAGGAAATATGACACAGAAAAAGAAAAAAATAACAAGCTTCAAACAAGGGGAGAGAATTTTGCAGCACTTGTCTGAAAGTCCTCACCTAAGGCAGAGCTCCCCCCTTCCCCCCCAGCCCCGATAATTGCAAACTATGTTAGAGAATCATTTCTGGTTGGGTTTATCTATATCTACATCTCCGTTTCAAAGCTGAAGAGCCAGCGCTGTCCGAAGATGTCTCTCCGTGGCCATGTGGCCGGCATCACTCAATGCCAAAGGCGCACGGAACGCTGCTCCCTTCCCACCAAAGGTGGTCTCTATTTCTCTACTTGCATTTTTGACGTGCTTTCAAACGGCTAGGTTGGCAGAAGCTGGGACAAGTCACGGGAGCTCACGCCATTATGTGATGCTAGGCACTTGAACCGCCGAACTGCCAATCTTTATGATCAACTTTCTGGGGGTTTTTTTGTTTTGTTTTTTGCCAACCTGATCAAAGCAACTTGCATAGCAGTTGTTAAAACTGTATAAGAGATCATACAGCCCCCTTAGTTAAGATAATACTCTGGAGTTAAATATCTTAAGAAAATAACCAGGGCAAAGTTTTTAAAAAGGGTCTGGGGGGAAGCTTGCTTTTTTGCAGATGTTTCATTACCCAAACTAGGTTAAT